AAATCTACAGATTTGCATTGCTCAAAAAACATACATTGAAGTCTTTCTAAGTCTACAGCATGTGATCATTGAGGCAATCTCAGTAAGAGTAGCAAAAAAAATCTGCTTGTGTATGGCAAATATTACTTTAGTCAGTAATAAACTCGCATTTGTAACAACCTTAAAATAGATGTGAAGCCCAAACTTTTTTTTTGTTTTTTAATTTGGATAGAGTAGAGGAGGTTTAAACCCAGTTCGATTTTTTTTACCATCTGTGTCTCATTAGATAATATCCCTTTGCCTCCTGTCCTGTAGACTCAACAGGAAGTGAGAGGATACCTTTTCAACATAAGGGAAATTCTCTCTTAGACAGTTGTGTCAGTAAGAAGTGCATCCAATGGAAAACTTCCACTCTATTTGTCTACTGGTGGCAGCTCAAATGTTTGAATTTACTTTCACTTTTATTCCCTCTCACAATAGTGATCTGAATCAGAGGGAGTAAATCTTCCTGCTGGGGATACAACAAATTGCAGTGGTTCTAACCCCTTACCGATCAATCCAAATGTAAATAATAGTGTTGCCTTTAGTTATACTTTGATCTCCTCTCCAGAGTTGTTATATGAGTGCAGTGTTTCTGACTTTATATACTTTATATTATCCACTGAAAGAAAAAACAAACAAGGGCGCACTCTTATCATGCATTACCGTGGTATACCACGTGCTTAATGAATAGACAAGTAGATATATACTTACAAACTAACGATAAAAACAGTGTGTGTGGTCCACAACAACAGTCACAAATGGCTGTGTCTAATGTGCAGATAAGCTGACGCGTTTCGGGAGCTGAACCCCCTTCCTCAGAGCCCCCTTCCTCATTTGTTTATTTATACTTTATATTATATACAGTGCTCAGCATAAATGAGTACACCCCTTTTGAAAATAAAGATTTTAATCAATATCTCAATGAACACAAGAACAGTTTTCCAAATTTTGTCAAAACTGAGTTTTATAGAACATTTGTTTAGCTCATTACATGAAAGTAAGGTTAATAATTTAACTTAGATTACAAAATCTTCAGTTTTACGCAAATTAGTTGATGCATGAATGAATACACCCCACAACAAAAACTACTACATCTAGTATTTTGTATGACCTCCATGATTTGTAAGAACAGCACCAAGTCTTCTAGGCATGGAATGAACAAGTTGGAGACATATTGCAATATCTATCCTTTTCCATTCTTCAAGAATGACCTCTTTTAGAGCCCGGATGCTGGATGGAGAGTGATACTCAACTTGTCTCTTTCGAATTCCCCATAGGTGTTCGATTGGGTTCAGATCAGGAGACAAACTTGGCCACTGAATAACTTTCACCCTGTTCCTTTTCAGAAATGCAACAGTGGCCTTATTTGTGTGTTTTGGATCATTGTCATGTTGGAAAGTGCACGACGACCAAGGGCACAGAGTGATGGTAGCACCTTGTCTTTCAATATAAAGCACTACATCTGTGAATTCATGAAACCATTAATGAAATGCAGCTCCCCGACACCAGCAGCACTCATGCAGCCTCACAGAAAAACACTGCCAACACCATGTTTCACTGTAGGCACCATGCATTTTTCTTTGTACTCCTCGCATTTGCAACACCATAGAGTTTTGAAGCCATCAGTTCCAAAAACATTTATCTTGGTCTCATCACTCCAGAGTACAGAGTCCTAGTAGTCTTCTGTTTTTTCAGCATGAGCCCTGGCAAATTCTAGCAAAGCTTTTTAGTGCATGGGCTTTAGGAGAGACTTTCTGCATGGATGACACCTATGCTAGCCATTCCTCTGCAGTGCACGCTGTATTGTGTCATGGGAAACAATCACCCCAGTTTGGCCATCTACTTCTTTAGCTAACTGCAGTGAACTTGCATGGCGATTTTCTTCAACCCTTCTCATCAGAAGATGTTCCTGTCGAGCTATTAACTTTTGTGGAAGGCCTGGACGTCTCTGTGAGATGGTTGCAGTTCCATCTTTGTAAAATTTTTGTATCATTTTTGCTACAGTATTCTTACTTATAAGTAAAGCTTTGCTGAACTTCTTGTAGTCATCACCTTTCTTGTGAAAATAAATTATTTTCTTTCTCAGGCCTTGTGACATTTGTCTTCTATGTGGAGCCATTATTGACAGCAAGAAATGGTATGGGGTTTCTTTGTTAAGTAACGCCCTTTTATAATCAACTGTCTGCTGGACACCTGTTTAATGAATAATTAGACTCACCTGTAGTTTAATTCTTGTTAATTAGGATTTTGTTGTCTAAAATTTAGCTTTGCTCCTAAGATTTTCATTGGAGTGTATTTCATTTTCTTGAATAAATTTGTTAGGAAAATTATTTGCAAAATCTTGTTTGCAATCAATGGCCCACATTTGTGGGAGTATGTTGTAATATTGTGACCCATAGAAAATGTTGTTTCTGAAATGAAAGGTTTTCTGACAAATCTGTCAGGGTGTACTCATTTATACTGCACATTGTGTGTGTGTATATATATATATATATATAAATAAATATATATATATATATATAAGGCTTGCTTCTGTGCGCTCTTCTTTCAAGGGTGAGAGAAGGAGAAGAAGCGTCTCTAAGTGCAGCATACCATTTTATTAAGGTTGAAAGGTAGAAACACTCACATGGTAGAGGTTAATATAAGCATTAAAAACCGTAGTAGGTTGTGACATCGATCAGATGGGTGTACAGGGTGAAGAGCTGTCATCAGAAGGGAGGATGGTGTAGTCAGCGTACAGCTGGAGCAGCGTGGTGGCTGGAGGGGAACAGCTGAGGAGCCAGCCGGCGTGCACGTCCTCCCTTCAGAGCCGGGTGGAACGTAGCGGCAGCGTGGCCGTGATGATGTCAGATCCCAGAATGCACTGCGACGCATTTCAGAGCACGCGCTGGCCTGCCTCCCTGGCGGTATTCCCGCGTGTAGCTCGAGGTTAACTTTCAGTACCAAAAGCGGTAACCTCGAGCTACACTCGAGATTACCCTGCAGAGTTGCTCAGGGATTCCCTCTTGCACTCACCTTGTCCTGCGCTCCCACGATGTCCCCCCTGTAGCGTCCCCGACCATCTCCTCCGGTCAATGCCAGCATCCATCTTCCTGTCTCCGTTCCCTGCGAGCGTCGGGACGTATGGGAGGTATCGGGGACGGAATCATTGGGAAATTTAAAAATGTTAAAATGCGACATTCACTAAATGCACTAAAATCACACAGTATAACATTACTGTATCAAATCATTTCACATACATTTTGTCCCTAGTGCTTTGTCCTGTGCCCTGCCTGCATTTTTACTGTTCTTTCTGCCTGAAAACTGAGAAACGTCCATGGCGTCCAAAAAGCGCCCCTTTAGGTCAAAAGTGGTTTTAGACCAGCTAGAGAACAGCGATAGTAAATTAGAACTACTTGCAGAATTGAGTGACAATGATTCGTGGGGAAATTCATCATCAGACACTGAAAAAGATTTTGCGACTTTGCTCAGTGATGTGCAAACTTGGCGCTCTATTTCAAATTTCAGTGTTTTTGGTTTGATTATATTATTGGATTAAATGTTTTATTATTATATTATTATTTTTTATGATTATTATATTATAATTTATGATTTCGTGTTTTAAACTTTATCATACCCGGATGTTTACTAGACTCTTGTTCGGACAGATTTCAGTGAGTTATTCCTAAAAATTACAGGCCTACAATAAAAAACAACATATTTCCATGCAAAAAAATGTACCTCTTTGAGCACAGAAATATTGACATAATCAGACCACTAGGGAGGTTAAAGGGACACTGGGGCTGGGCAGTTAGGAGTTAATAAGGAATGAAGAATGGCAGCTTTTAAAATGACAGCTTTCAGTGCTGAAACATTGCTGTAATCTTAAAACGCTGCTAAAGTCCACCTTTTGATTTATACCTACAGGTAAGCCAAGCCTATAAAAAGGCTTACCTGTAGGTACAGTAAATATCTCTTAAATATGCACCATTTTGGAGATATTTACTTTAGTGCCGTCTATTCAGAGGTCTGTGCCACGGCCATGATTCCCATGATTGGGAGTGACGCCACTGCGGCTTAGCCATCCAAATGGCTGAATTCTAGAAGCCCGGAAGGAAGACCAGCAGAGGTGACAGCATGCTGCTGGAGGGCTTCATTTTGAGGTAAGTCTATCATAATGTGCTAGTATGCGGTGCATAGTAGCACATTATAACTTTATCTTGCAGGGGTCCATTTATTTATTTTTTTGTGGTTTACTACCAATTGAAATAATTCAGCCTTGCGGCTCCCTGTTCTCCTTTGAACTACACAGCCAATCCACAAATCAATCTTCCTGACATGGAAAACAAGGGGGCAGCGTTATAAAAAAAAAAAAGGGGAGAAAATAAAAAGTGTGTGTTGTGTGTGTGATGTATATAAAACGTTCACCACTGACAGACAGACAGCAGGCACCATAAACAATAGTGAGAGGGGAGAGGAGGAGAAAGGACATCCATACAGATGAGAGGTAGAAGGGAGCCTTGCCATTTGATGCCTATAAGTGGAGGGGCATGGAGGGGACAGAGGAGCATGTCTCCTGCCAATCAGCTCTGATCACTCCCTGGCATGCTGCTCCCCATCTCCTTCATGGACTTCAAAGATCACTGGCTAGCGGGACGAGCTCTGTGGCAAGTGAGAGGCTGATTGCTGTCTCATCTGATCTTCTCCCCCTGCCCACACCCAATCTCCTCAACATCACAAGCACTAAGCACTACATGAATCTTTGCAGCAGCTCTAGCGCTTAAGATTTGGAGAAGATCAGGTGCTGGTAGAGCGCGGCAGGAGGAAAAGATTAGACCGTCGGTGCCCCTCTCAATTCGGTGCCTGGAGCAAATGCCCCCATGCCCTCCCTCCTAGTTGTGTCCCTGCTGACTGAAATACTCCCAGGATGTTGCTTGTACATTGCTAAATCAGGCCTAGTCATTACTGCTCATCTCCTTCATCACTGGAGTGAGCTTTTTCTCTGATTCAAGCCCATATGCTCTCTTTCTCCCCTGATGAAGTAGCTCTGAGCCAGAGGCAGACTGACCATTTGGAAACTTGGGCACTGCCCAAGGGCCTGGGGTCAGTAGGGGGCCCCATGAGATGCCCCCGGTACCTTTTTCATAGGCTTTTTTGACTTTGGGCAAGGACACAGGGGCCCCATGATCCCCTATTGCCTGAAGGCCTCATGAGTTGTCAGTCTGCCCCTGCTCTGAGCACAGTGTTTGAGAGCTTATCCCTGTGATGGTGGAGGGAGTACCCTCAGAGCAAGTGGCTTCCTATGGGTACACTCGGCGGTGGGGGGGGGGGCCTGTGGAGCCATGAGCTCCAGTTGGGAACCTGAGAAGAGGAGGATCAGGGCTGCTCTGTGCAAACCCATTGCACAGAGCAGGTAAATGTGACATGTTTGTTATTTTAATTTAAAAGAAAACCCTAGTTTACTATCACTATAAGTCACGATGACATGTACCTGGTCCGGTGGCGGTCGGGCCAAGGGAAAGGTCCAACGTATCATCAGAACTGGCTGTCTGCACACAAAAGAGATAGCCAGCTGAAGATGAATAGAGCAGATGGCAATGTAGGACTCACTGTATGGCACCCAAATACAGTATGACTATATGGCACCCGAATGGCGGATCACAGTAGGACAATGCTGGATTTGCTATGTGGGTGAGTACATGTTTTGAAGAGAACAAAGCACTACAGGTAAGAGGACAAAAAACATGAGTGGGGTGGGAGGAGCTGAATACTGCTTTAAGATGAATCTCCCCACGGAAAACACTGGCATCAATAAAAACAAAACAGAGGTTCTAACCCATCCACATTATATACATAGCTATGGAACAAAAGGCTTTGACTTTACTTATGTTTTAATGTAAAAAAAAAATATTTTTTTTTTTTTCCCATTCTGCTAACTAAGTAGGTGTGAATCAGAAAAACTCTTGCTCCCAAATTGCAATGGGTGCGTTCACTAGTCTACTTTATTTAAATGGCGTTGCCATTATGTAATGAATGGGGTTGTTGGACTCTGCTGCATATTAAGTTTACATTGCAAGGAGAATGCTAATTTATTATTATTTCTTTGTTTTAACTATACAAATTAAATTTCAAATGATCCTCTTTCGCTTCATTGTTACTCCAGTAAATGGTAAGTAAATGCTTCACATTTCTCTTTCAGTGCTCCTGGAATGGCTTTGACTTCGTACCCTGAAGCACATACACAGCAGTACTGTAATATGATTTAGCCTCTTTAAAAACTTTAACGTATTTTTCCTCTGATTCTGCCAGCATTCATTGCTGTAACAGTATTCCATAAAAAACTTACTTTACAACCAGGATATTTGTACCCATGTTTATTATGGAAATATTTTTATGCATTCATTAGGTAAATGTGTTCCTATACGCTACATCATACATTTATTTTCTTTTGCAGTTATAAATAACATATTTAAAAGGAACATCAGCCAAAAACATTTAAAACTTTTGGAAGGTGGGACATTTAAGAGTCTCTGTCAGGTTTTTATTATGGTCTGGGTCCCTGTTCCTGTATATAACAGTATAGTATACATTTCCTCAAAGGGGACATACATAGCAATAAAAACCCAATAAAGATTCTGATCTTCCCTCATTGTAAATAAAAGTACAAAAAATTATTTTGTATAACATTCCACCTTAAAGGGTGAGCTAAAAAATTTATATATTTGGTTTCTGTTGATCTTTACTTATAGGGGGAGATTTACTAAAACTGAAGCACTCAGATCCTGGTGCAGCTTTGTATGGTAGTCAATCAGCTTCTAATTTCAGCTTGTTCAATTAGGCTTTGACAATAAATTACACCCATAGTCACCACCCTATGTTGGTGTATTCTGTTGAACAATTATATAAAACCTGGAAGCTGACTGGTTTCTATGCTGAGCTGAACTAGATTTTGCACTCTCCAGTTTTAGTAAATCCCCCTATACAGTTTTACAGATTACTTGTTATTTTTGTATTGATTCATAAAGTACTTTTACTTTTTTAAAGTATTTTTTAACCTTACTGCCTTTCTAAGGTTTATTGAACCTTATTGCAATGTGCTGTAACTGTTGATTAGAAAGCAGCTCAAATCATGTATTACTCTGACCGAGCTTTATTTACTAAAGGTGAAATTTAATTAGTTTTTAGTTAGTGCTCCATTATCAGTATTGCTCCTTGCACTGCCTTATTGTTAAAGCCTATCATTGTCGTAATGTCACTATGTGCACATCAAAATTACCTTCATATGTAGGTCACTAACAGCTTATAGTATACTTAATCAGCAAGTTGTACTGCCAAAAAATAATTGTCCACAATGACAGGCAGGGCAGGTTGCAGCCAGTGAGAAAAATAATTAAAAAAAAAAAGTCTCTTTCTGTAAAGGAGGGCAGGGCAAGAATGTTCTCAGAGCTTCTTCTGGGTGTGGATCAGATTGTGTAACCTTAGCTGCCTCATCTCTTCATCATATCTCCTTTGCTGTCATTCCTCGTCATTAATAAGAATCTGGTTTCTTCACTGGAATAGGTGTGAGTCAGGGGTACATTTTTATCAGAGCACTTTTCTTGCTCATTCTCAGATTTGAAAGTATCTCAGCAGGCTGACCAGCACTTGGAATTCCACAGTGTTAAGGAGAAATGGAAGATCAAGATACGAAAACTACCAACGGCTCCCACTGTGAAGAAAATGGCAGTCCTGTCCAACCGGATTCTGCAAATTCAGGCGTCAATGATGAGAACCAGAAGGTGCTCGTCAATAGTCCTGGCCCAGAACAAGGAGGCGTGAAGTCGTCATTATTAAAAACCAGCCCTGGCATAGGGAGTATTAAAATTAGCAGGATGAGTCTTTTTAGTTCATCAGATTCACAGATACCCAGCAGTCCTGGTTCTGAGAATTCAGAAGCTCGGAGATCTGTGCGTGGAAGTGTAGGATCTATGGATAATGATGATGTCCTCTGTGATTCATGTATCGACGACAAGAAAAAAGCTGTCAAGTCCTGCCTGGTCTGCCAGACATCTTTCTGTGAACCTCACCTGAAGCCCCATTTGGAGGGGGCTGCCTTTCGGGACCATAAGCTGCTGGATCCCATCAGAGACTTTGAAGCTCGAAAATGTCAACTGCATAGCAAAACGATGGAGCTGTTTTGTCAAACAGACCAGACATGCATCTGTTATTTGTGCATGTTCCAAGAACACAAGAACCATAACACAGTGACAGTGGAGGCTGAAAAGTATGTCAAGGAGGTAAGTACTGTTTTCAAATTCTCATTTGTAGTATTACTTTAGGCCCAAAATTGAATCACACTAAAGTCCTATTAATGAGGCTGGCACAAAGCTCTTAATGTAGCTAAATATATCACCAGTTTGCATTACGTTAAGGGAAATTATGATATAAAATTCTTTACACGGAAACATTTAGATTATGCCAAAGGAAATAGGAGAATTTTAATATACAATTATATACACATAGACTTTCTATAATAGTCCAGGTATCATATTATTTATGGGTTAGTCCATTAGGTCTATTCTTTACAATAATTTTCTTACATTCGTATGTTTCAACTTAAGCAGCAGGTCACTGTTTCAATGTAGGCAAACCCATTAATCAGATAAAGGGGAATAATGTGGAATTTGCGGCAACTTATTCCCACATATTGAAGCTAAATTGGAACTACTGTGTAAGGACTATATACAGTATGACGACAAATGGCAACAATTCTTGGACCCCTTTCATTCAGTTAATGCCAAAGTACAAATGTTTATTGACTGAGCATGGATAGAAGAGTGTAGGTGAAGTGCAGCCTCTGTAATGCTCTGAACTCTTTCATAGTCCATAATATACAACATGGGTCAGATGTCGAACCAGAAGCAAAGTTAGGTTATTGAGAAGAAGGTCACTCATTTCTAGAAGTGACCCTTGAAGTGGTCAATGTTCAAGTCTATGTGAAAGTAATAGAGGGGCACAACATCACCCCCACATCTTGGGCAGCTTTCAAGTCCTATTAAGATATTAGTTGTGTTCTTTATAATGATGAAAAAAAGCATGTACCTAGGTTTTCATAGGATCTTTGTATAGAACAAGATGGGAGGTTAAATTCAGCTTGTCTATGTGTCCTTTTTTTAAAAAAGACCCCAATCAAATTTAATGTGAGATAGTGATCTTGCTCTTGAGAGAGGCTCAGCCTGTGTATCCAGAGTTATTCATGAAAACCTGCCACACAGGGTAACACGGTGCTTTGTTGTATTGAAATGAACCATACAAAATTAAATCTAACTAGTTGAGTATGTTATACCTTTAGTTACTTGATTACAATCATTTTATTGTTAGAACTTTTTGCTTACTTTTTTTGATAGCCATGGTAAGCCAAAGTGCACGCACTTGTTGTTTTGTACTGTAAAGCTGACCATAAAGAGATTAGAGAGTTATTATAAATATGCATTCCCAATGGTACCACCTACAGCAGCACTGCCTCTGCCCTGAACATGAACGCTCAGGTCATTATGTGCAGATGAAACTTGATAGATCATTTCAATCTAATGTGCAGATAAAACGTATCTTGTCTCCTAGATTGTAAGCTCGAAAGAGCAGGGCCCTCGATCCCCTCATGTTTTGCATTGTATTGGTATTGTTCTGTCACATGTTCTGTCCCCCTTTGTAATGTACAGCGCTGAGCGAACTATTGGCGCTTTATAAATACTGTATAATAATAATAATAATGTGATCTAAAAGAAAAATATTTCGGGGGGATTTCTTTTACGCAAATCTAATTCTTAACAATATCTAGAATCCACTATCCAAGGAAAAACTATAAATAAATCAGAGTTAACTAAGTTTTTCCGATGAATAAAACCTCCTTAACTGGCCATACATGTGGCAATTTGATTGGGCAATCAGAATTCTGATTTTGAAGTTATTTTGTGGAGATCACAGAGCAATTAATCTAAGACATAAAATGGTGGATTTGATTGACAGCAAGGAGATGGAAATGAAACTGCCAGTCCGAGCATGGTGGAAAAATAACTATAATGTTTGATGAGATTGATATGTGTTTTTTTTATCATGCATCGAAAGACACAATTGACGTGAAAAAGGTCCAGTTTCAAATTTATAATCAATCACATACTGGTGGTTGATTGAACCTTTGGGTGTAGATTGTTTCATTTCTGATAATATCTGTTGCCCATACTTGCAATTCCAGGAGGATCAAAAGTGGATGAGATTGACTGAAAATTGTCACGTGTATGGCGAGCATAGGATCTTGTGCATTTAAGTAAAAAAAAAGCAAATAAATACACTATAGTCATCCTTAATGCTGAGCACACAATGGGTTATATGTATGAAAGAGTTTACAATAATATCAAAGGATTGTCCATACAGCAATTCCAAACAGATTCTATCTCTCATGATCCAAGAACAGGAAAACTAACTGACTTGTATGACACACTTAGGGTAATTTATCAAAACTGGAGCAGCTGTGCATGGCAACCAATCAGCTTCTATGATTCATTTTGCAAAGCTTAGCTGAACAATCTGAAGAGAAAAGCTCATTGGTTGTCATGTACAGCTGCTCCAGATTCTGTCTATTCCAACTTTTATAAATCCCCCCCCCACTGTCTCTAGGAGAGTTTCACAGTCACTAGGAGAGAAGGTGAAAAGAAGTCTCCCCAATGGGGGCCCAGACAGTAATATAAACCTGACAGAGTTTCTAACCCTTTCTTGTCTCTATCTAGAACAAAAAAGTACTACACTTTAATTAGAAGAAATACTATAAGATTCCAATATGCTGAAAAGATTTTTTTAAATGAAGCACATAAATGGTAAAATAGAAAAAAATAAACATTTTATAAAATAGAGTTTTTCTAAAGACAAAACTTTTAGTTTTGGAAAAAGCAGTTTTTACATTTGGATAGAACAGCAAGGGATTAGAACCCCTGTTGGGTTTTTATAGCTGTATGAGTCCCCACTTAGGAGATTCTCTCATTCTCTATGTCTTGGTGACCACTGTTTCTGGGACTTAAAGTAAGGAAAAATTAAAAATTTTTAACTTTTGCCATAATAGGAAAAATACAAATGATGTATAAAAGTTTGAAAGTGCTGCAGGTTTATGTAAGTCCAGTAAATTGCTATTCTTGGTCAGAGAACAAAGCCAACACATTCAGGGGTTCAAGGCCACTTTCATCAGGGCTTGGAAGCTGGCTGTAATAGAGGCTTATTCTAAACACATATGTGTGAGGCAACAGAAGTTACGATGTCAGTTGGAGATTACACTGCTGTTCCTATGACTTTGTTGCCTTACAACTGTGTGTTAAATATAAGCCTCTATTCAGGGGCAGACTGACAAATCATGGGGCCCCCAGGCCATAGGGGATCATGGGGTCCCTGTGTCCTTACCCACACTCTAAACCATACCCAAAAAAGCCTATGAAAGGTACTAGGGGCATCTCATGGGGCCCCCTACTGACCCTGGGCCCTCGGGCAGTGCCCGAGTGCCCGAATGGTCAGTCTGCCCCTGCCTCTATTACACGTCTGATGGAGTAGGAGCCTATCCCTCCAAAAAAAACATGACTTTGTCTTCAGACTTTTTACTATGATAGATATACTTTTACTGGACTTAAACTAACCTGTTGTCTTTTACACCACTTTTTCTGCGAGCCCTCTGGGATACCCTGTAGAGATTATACTGGGATACTCCCTTTTACTGGAGATCAAATATATGGGGAAACTTGTTCAGGTGACCACTGTCAAAGTGAGGACTCCCTTTGACTTCCTAATCTCTGTAGAGATTTCCTTTGACTTCCTAATGTGTTTATGGGGCTAGAAGTAAATGGCAATCTGCCTAATGGTACACAGATGGCAAACAGAACTTTTGTCTTAAGAAATACATTAAGAAGAAAACCTTTGGTCTCTATGATTTTTTTTGTTGCTTGCTTTGAAAATGGTTGGAAGCTTTTATGCTGGCCATAGATGGTTCAAATCTCGGCTGGTTCAGCAGGGACCGGCCCGAAATTAAAACCATCGATGTGCAAGTTGATTATACCCAATTTGATTGTTGTGCGACTAGGGTACATCCAACATGTTGGATTTTTCATGAGATTATTGCCAGTGGCTATAGCTGTTAGCAATATTCACTGTGTTCTGAAACCCGTGGTTGCAGGCAAGAAATTTGATTGTCTTTGGCCTGCTTTAGCTTCTTGGTTGTATGACCATGTATCTACCAAGCTATCGAACTATCTATCTATCTATCTATCTATCTATCTATCTATCTATCTATCTCAAAATATATCTTTCACTTACCTAACTTCAGAAATTCCAGAACCTAATTGGTTATAGAGGGTGACTGTTCTTTGCACCACCATACTGAATAGATTTTGTAAAGCCACTTGACAAGCATTTTTAGGTAAGCTAGGGAAGAGCACAGTTTAGAAGTGGTTAAATGTATTGAGGCTTATATGCTGCTATGGTCCTGTCTCAACAGAACTCAGTCTGAGGGCGTCTCCTTCATTACGACATTTCATAAATGCCTCTGTATAATAACTAAAATCTATGGCTGTGTTGCAGCCCCACCTTGGGTGTGCCAGAGCATTATGCAGACAAGGTACTTGCCTGCAGCCAAATTCTGCGTGTTACGCAGACTGACATCACTTCAACCCCACCTGAGAAATTGATAAATGACAGCTTGCAGCCGTGGTCTGTATTCCAAGGTGGTTTCTTAGGACTTCAGGCTTGAAAACTGGATGAATCCAGATTTACTTGCTAAATCCTTAGGCAGCCAATCACAGTGATTTTTTTGTTATCTAGCTCTCTTTGTGTGCCTTGGTCAGGGGAGGAAGCAGCTAATGCAATGCAAAATTCATCCACGTCTACTTTATGTGTTCCATATTTTTCTTCACATTAAAAGAGACGTTTGGGAATAAAAAAAATCATACTCACCTAGATGGCTACAGCACTGATCCCAGCTGCATTTGTCCCCCGCCGCCTCTAAGACCGAGAACTGAGTGATCAAAGACTGCTGATTGCTCAGTTTTCAGTCTTCAGTCTGCAGAGAGCTAGTGACTGTCAGTCACCAGCTCTCTGCTCTGCCTCTCCAGTGCTTACTGCAGTACTGGGCTGTGTGGTGGGAGCAGTAGTTGCTGGCTCAGGCTCTTAGTGGATTGCTGCGGCTGAGCCAGCTGCTGGTCGAGGCTTCTGGGCAGATACCGAACTTATGGTCGGGATCTTTCAGAGCATGGACTAAGCTTTACCC